AGCTTTGCGGGTTTTGGCGCTTTTTAGTGCCGCTGCTAGTTCCTCCATGCTGATAGGTGCGTCAAGGGTCGATGCTGAGTCCCGGTCAACTACCTCCTTAATGTATGTGTGTAGGTAGTTGTTCATAGTCTGGTTTTCGAACGGGTTGTCTACCTGGTGCGGGGAGGTTGTAGAGGGCCTGGTAAAAGTTCTTGAATTCCTCTGCTATCTTCTGTGGGAATTGGGAGCTGGTGCCTGATGCAAGATGTAATTTACGTATCTGGGTGTGACACGTTGCCTTTCAGGAGCCGTGCCAGGTATTTGCCTCCTTTATTAGCGCAGGCATAAAAGAAACCCTTTGAGTATTGTAACGTGCGTAGGTGTTTTTTCATTATAAGATTTTTTTAGTGCTCTTCTGGCCTCCATGAGTTCGCCATATATTGCGTTGAGGAGGGATCGCTTGTGTTGTTGTTCTAGAGTCGAGATGGATTTATGTAGCTCCTCCATCTTCCGAGTGGTTTCCTTTCTTTTCTGCGAAGCAATTCGAATGAGTGTTCCCCGAATTACACGCTTGTGTGCCTCCCGGATGGTGACAGGTGATGTTTCCTCCTGGTCGTTTTCTTTGAAATAGTGGTCTAGTGCCTTGTCTATTTGTTTCCGTGTTACCAGGAGCAGTGCTTCGTTTAGCCTCCAGGTCCAAGTGGAGGGTCGATTTCAGGTCTTTTCTGACTGGGCCATGATCTGACCACGTGGCTGGCTCAATAGTAGCCTTTAATAAACGTGAGAGGCCCTCTTGCCTGATGAAGAGATAGTCGATTCGTGCGTACCGGTTATGAAGGGCGGAGTAGTGCGTATAGTCTTTGCTCCAGCAATCAACTAGGCCCAGGTCGTACAGTGAGTGTCAGATAGATCTGATGCATCGCTGGGATATGCAGCTATGTCCCGAAGAGGAGTCCAACATCGGGTCTAGGCGTGTATTAAAGTCACCCCCCACTATTAGCACACCTTCCGCAAACTGCTGAAGTTTAGCCAACGCACCTTTGAGAAATGAGGCTTGGCGCCTGTTGGTGACATAGATCGTCGCGAATGTGTGAATCTTGTCCGCTATGATTCTCTTCAGGAAGAGGAAGCATCCCTGTGTGTCTTGGACTCGTTCCAGTTCCTGGAATTCGAGGTGCGCTGCCATTACGATTGCTACTCCAGATTTGCGGGCTGCGGGGTGGTTGCAAAAATAGTTGGTCGGGTAGGACCTGTCGCGCAGACGGGGCGCTGCTCCTTTTTTAAAATGTGTTTTCTGAAGCATAGCAATCGAAATATGCTTTTTCTTCAGTTCCCTCAGCAGATGTGTTCTGCGTTCTGGGATATTCAGACCTCTGCAGTTGAGAGTGAGGACAGACAATGGCGCTTCTCATTATGCCATCCCCCCTTGTGGGCCGTCATCCCTACTGTACCAGAGATGCGGTCTCAAGTTCTCGGGGTCCCCCGATTCCGTGGCAGGCACCCACGGGCCACGCGCCCCCCACACAGTTTTACAAACAAAGATAAGTGAAGGGGAGGAGGGGTGTGTGGGGGCCGAGGTTGGTAGGTGAGGTTAGTGAGAGTGCGAGTGTGAGTCGTGTGTTGTATGAATGTGTAGATGGGGAGTGCACCTCAAGTGTGAAGATCCCTCCCGGGATTAATGGAATCCTGTATCAGGTCCCCTCTGTCAAGGGGTGCTCGTGCAACAACCAGAGTCGTTAGGACCTTACCCCGGTAACCAGCCCACAGTCTAGCTGTGAAAAGATTAGCACGAGTGTATGTCGGGTAGCGCAGCTCCGACTCCGCCTAAGGAAAAGACAGCAAGAGAGATTCGAGTCGGCCCGCTCCACCTCGCCCCATTCGAGGCGTTTCACGTATTGCAGCATTTGTCATTCCTATTTTTATGTACATATTAAAGGTCATAACATTGTGAAGATATAAAAACAAAACTGAAACTAACATTCCCAAGAGCTCCCCTTCCGTTCCCCCCTTCATGTCCCGGATACATCAATCAGATCCATTTCACATTTTCCTTCCCTCCCCACCCCCCCTTGCCCGTCCCTGTCTTATTTCATGTGTGCAGATGCCCGCGTTAGCCATGTTAATTATCTCCCCCAGTTAGCCCTGTCCTTTTCCTAGGTAGGTACCATTCTATGTCCTCTCTCCCTACTCTTCCAGCTCTCCATCTGCGCAGTCTCTACTTTTATAATGTGATGTTTCTGCCATGAGTGTAGTGACCTGACGTCATTGCGTGTTTATGTTAGGTGACAGGGAGATGTGTGCCTTTTAGGTCCAGTGGAGTACATTCCCTTCCCACATAGGTCTGTCCCTGCATGTTACGCGATAACCGTTTTGTCTCATGAGCTTGAACCTTCCTGTACAATGTTCAATCACCCTTTCCTGGTCTATAGTCTTGGTGGGGTTGTTCACGTGTGATTAGCGTTGTGTGGGGCCCATATCTATTTCGTCCTCCCCTTTCTCCCTGGTGGGGTCCCCCTTCCCGGGAGGCATTCTTGTATTTAGGGGTGCTGTCCTATGGGGTTGCTTTGGACCCTTGTTGGGGATGTAGGAAGCCATCTAGGTGGCCCTGTTGCTTGCCTCTCGGTGTTTGTGGAGGTTCAGGGCATTTGTTATGACCCATTTAGGGCAATAGGCTAATTTACAGGCGCTATATAGGGTTTTGGTGGAGCCGAGCCCTCGGTTTATGCGGCCCTCTTGGTCAGAGCCCAAACCATGCCCCCCTCACCTAAGCATTTTT